TTAAAAATTAATTGGAGCGACGAAGAATAATCAGTAAATAAAAATTAATGTGTGTGTGCTAAAAATTTTAATCAGTGGAACAAAAGCCGAAGGTCGGCTTGTGCTAAGAAAACAAACAAAGAATATACCTCGAATCAACACTGTGTTAAAGATAATAATTGGAAAGTCAGATAAACGAATAAAAACAGGCTTTGTTTTGCATCGAGTTTAACTTTCAGAGATGATAAGGAATAACGACATCGAAAAGGAGATAATACTACAAATAAATGATGTAACAAACAAACTTACGAGTGTATAAATGACAATAATCTGGAATAAGGTTTTGTGATAATGATAACAAATATTAAGTGATGGTGTAAAGCAAACATTATGATATTGGTAAAAGCAAACGTTAGAGTATTGTGTAAGGTGAACATTATGATATTATGTGAAACAAAAGTTGACAAGTGGTGAGAGGACAAACATTATTGTTAATGATTACAGCACTTAGTTAAATTGGCTAAGTGAATTCAAAGTCTCTCCCTTGGCTATAACAAATGTCTGGTAGAAAAAGGCTGTATTTAGTGATGAATTTGGAAAAAATATTTCAAGGAAAAGTAAATAAAAAGAAAAAGATCTGTTACGCAAGAGTTAGCTCAGATAAACAGAAAGAAGATTTCAACAGACAATATGAATACCTTATGGAGAAATACCCAGATCACGAACTCATTAAGGACATCGAATCAGGTCTTAATTAGAAATGTAAAGGTTTCATGTCCATTCTGGAATGATCATTTCAAGGAAATATCAATGAAGTTGTAGTTGTCAGGAAGGATTGACTCTGTCAGTTCACTTACAAACTTGTCAAATAGATCTTTGGTAAGAATAATACAAAGATCTTGGTACTTGGTTCGGACATCAACGTTGATGATACAGAATCCGGAGAGCTTGCTGAGGATCTATTATCCATCATTACTATCTTCACAGCAAGACACAATAAACTCAGATCAGCTCAGAACAGAAAACGACGAAGAAAAACTAAAAACTTGAAAGATACGAATATACTTAATATTGGATGAAAGAGAAAATTAAAAAAATAGATGGAAACTGTGAGGTAGACTTACAACAAAGTTTTTGAAATGTTACAAGATAATAAGTAATATGAATATTATAAGGAAGCATTACTTGAACGATAAATGTTTTGCAAATGAAGAATTGCCATGGGTGAAGGAAACACTAAGGGAAGTGAGGTCGTACATAATCAGGCAGTTGATGAGCACATTTAAGACAAGCAAGAAATTATATGGTAATAATTTTAAAATGAAATACAAAACAAAAAAAGATTGTTCGCAAACTATCTCAATACTGGCGAGAGATTGGAACAAGAACAGAGGAGAATATGTATTCCTTAAGACTGTGACTGTGTTAGAAAGACCACCAGAAATAAATCATACCATGAATATAACCATGAATAGATTAGGACATTTTTACATATATGTATCTATTTCTTTAGACATCAGCGATAATCAAGATGGTGTCAAAGGAAAAGTAATATTGCTTGATCCAGGTATATGTACCTTTATAACTGGTTATGATCCTAACGATCAAATTGTAGAGTGGGGTAATGGCAATCTCAACAAGATATTTAGATTATCAAAAAAATATGATAAATTACAAAAAGACAAGGATCTGGCAATCAGACAAAAAAATAAACGTAAAAGATACAAATTGAAGATAAAGATGTATAGGATCATTGTCAGAATTAGGAACTTGATCAATGAATGTCATCATC